AGCTTCCAGCTCCTCTGGTCACTGCCATGCTCACTACAGACGTGACTCGTCTCAGGAGGTCTTGACTCATTTCAGCCCTGCCCTGCTCACTTCACTGTCTGTGTGTCCTGGCCCTGGAAGCCTTTAACTAGCCCAGTGGCTTCTGCTGTAGCTCTGATCAGTTCTTCCACTGTAGCTTGCCTGACACTGGAAGGGGGAAAGGAGGTGCCTTGCATTTAATGTGAGCCCAGAGCCTCAACGAATGGGAGGCCAATGTGGTACTTAGCATCTGCTGTCTATGCTTGGTCAATACATATCCAGCATCCCTTTGCAAGGCTCATGTGCATCCGGGCTGAGGCCTTGCTGGGCCCTGTGACAAAGCAGGGATTTTATTTGCCTTGTTCCGCTGCATGAGTTCTACTGTCCCATAGTAGCCCTGTGTGTGTGCCTCAGTTTACCAGGGCCCTGTACCATTTCCCAGATCAGAGGCTGGCAATGTATGGCATAGAATCATAGAATCATAGAGCTGGAAGAGACCTCAGGAGGTCATCGAGTCCAGCTCCCTGCCTAAAGCAGGACCAATCGCAACTAAATCAACCCAGCCAGGGCTTTGTCAAGCTGAGACTTAAAAACCTCTAGGGATGGAGATTCCACCACCTCCCTAGGTAACCCATTCCAGTGCTTCACCACCCACCTAGGGAAATAGTTTTTCCTAATATCCAACCTAGACCTCCTAATATCTAACCTAGACCACTGTAACTTGAGACCATTGCTCCTTGTTCTGCCATCCATCACAAATGTGAACAGCCTCTCTCCATCCTCTTTGGACCCTCCCTTCAGGAAGTTGAAGGCTGCTATCAGATCCCCCCTCTCTTCTCTTCTGCAGACTAAATAAGCCCAAATCCCTCCGCTTCTTCTCATAGGTCGTGCTCCAGCCCCCTAATCACTTTGGTTTCCCTCCGCTGGGACCCTCTCCTATGCATCCACATCCTTTCTGTAGTGGGGGGGCTCAGAATTGGACACAGATGTGGCCTCACTAGTGCCGAATAAAGGGGAATAATCACTTCTTTAGATCTGCTGGCAATGCGCCTCCTAATGCACCCCCAGCTCACCCATTTCCCTGAACCCTGATCCAGCATCATGCCTCCCGCAAGACTGGAGCCAGTGCCGGCACCTTGTGCGGGGGGCCCTGAGGCTCTGCACCGCACACGTGTGCTGCTCCTCCCTTTCCCCACAGGAAAAGCCAGAGCAGAGCCCAGGGCAGAAGACCAAGCAGGGCACATGGTGGAGAGAGCCCCTCCCCCCGCCCAGGAGAGCAGTGCGGCCCAGGGTAGGAGTTTAAATCTTGGCATGTCACTTCAGAGAGATTGCCAACCCCTGCCCTAGATGGTGATGGGAATTTTGGTGTGACAGCCTCCTTTATGTACACAAGGGCTGATGCTCTTTGCAAGCATCGTGAGCCCAGGATAGGATGCGACCAGGTGACACCTTTTGCCCAGGAAGCAGGCCAGAGGTTGGAGGAGGAGTCTGGGGGGCGGGAGAGGTGAGGGGCTGGGACCAGGAGCTAGAACTGGGTCAGTCCTGGCTGACTGGGGAAGCAGTGGGCAGTCCAGGACCCTGGCTCTGGGCCCCCCTCCCAGGCATGGATTGAACTGCCTGCTTCTAGTTACTATGCCGACAAGTCTGTTCTACGCCGTGTCCTTGTCGACTAATAAGCCTTCCGTTCTACCTGCCAGCTGAGAGCCACATCTGAGTGCAGGGCCCAGCGACTCCCCCACACCTGAGGCACCCGTTGCCCTGGGCAGAGCAGTCACGTCCCTTGTCCTGAATGGTCACCAAGATCTGCTGGCAGGGAACTCGACCCCAGGGAATGTGAACTGGAAGAGGCCCTGGTAACACATCCACAACTACACTGAGAGACACCCCTGGGTCTCCCACAGCATTTCGGAGCCCGGCACTTCCATGGCCCCAGGTTTCTGGGCATTCAAGCTTGTTGGCTTCTCCGTCCGCTTGTTCATTAGGATCGCCAGCCCCCCTTCTCTAGCGGTCGCACTGCACAGGCCACATGTGGCTCCTCTCACAAGCCTTGCGTCTGGTTTGTGTGGGGTGATGCAGAGGAGCGCACCCGTCAAGCTCTGAGGGGCTCTGTTTAGCTCTCTCTGCGTGCCAGAGGCTTGCTGGTTGCTGTTTGGCCAGTGCCCCTTCAGACGGCTGTTCTGCAGGCCCCTGCCAACCGGCGGAGGAGCTGCAGGATCGGCAGGTGTGCTCCCTTCCTGGAGTGGCTCAGGGAGCCCCTCCTTTGCCATGTTCTCCTACCAGCGGGATGCACCGCAAGACCCTTGCCAACACCTCATACAGCCTCTCCTGAGGGGAGTTTCTGGCATGGGGGAGTGCTGCAATCACAGGATTAGCAGCATGTTGATTTAAAGGGCTTATTACAGGAGCTTAATTTTATTTTGGCAGAGGCAAGTAAGTCAATTACAGCTGGAAATAGCTCAAGGTTTGGGTTATATTTTTTACTTCCTGTGGGATCCTTCAGCCCCTGCCCCGATAGTGACTCTCCTTCCTGAGAGTCCTCTGAGCCCAAGGAAGCCATGGCCCTGCCAACGGAAAGCAGGGATTTGTTTTTAACTGGTGGTTTGTCCAGGCAGCAGAAACCTCCGATCTCTCTCTTGGTGGGCCAAGGGGTCCTACAGTGGCAGCTGTCCACTCAGCTGGCTGTGGTCTGAGTTGCAGACCTGTGCAGAGGGGCGATCCATAGACTTTGGGCTTGTCGCTGCAGAAACCAGTCCCTGCTCCCTTCACACACATGCCGACCCTCTGGTGTGTCCTTAGGAGCTGCTCTGAGCGAACTGTTCTGCCCCCTCTGGCTGGGAAAGGCTCTTCGCAGCACAGCTCAGTGGCTCCAGGCGACATCTCTCTGTGCCATTCCAGCCAGCCATCATTAATCTGATCGCTTTACCTGGCCCTCATTGCCATAGCGACAAAGCACCTTGTACCAATGACGCTACTGACCTCCTTAGATCCCCTTCATTTTCAGCTTTCTCCTTGGCTCTCTGTCAGAGCAACAGAGCCACCAACAAGTCCACACCACAGTGCTGCATTTCATAGCCGAACCCATGTCCAACCACCCCGTCCCAGCCTGCAGGACAACTACCAAGTCCCCAGCATTGCCGTAACCTGAGGAGGTTGCATCTCCATGCGGAGTTGCAATGGTAGAGGATGACAGTCCTCGGCTGTTAAGCCAGCTCACTCCTGGCTTTGTGAAGAAGAAATCCAGTTCTAGGGAAGTTCTTGTTCATCCCCAGGAAGCCCGTGATCTCGGGAAACTTTAGTAGAGCCCCACAGGCTGTTGGCTTCAGTTTTGGATCTGATGACATTAAAACAGGGAGCAAAAGAACTTCCTCACCTCAGCTAGGCTAGCAACATCTCAAGGGACAAGGGGATGTTATAGGAAGAGCCAGAAATAAAGGGGAGGAGGAGTCTGCATGGTTAATACAGGAGGGAAGAAACAGATTCAGAGGCTACGAGTCGCCCTATTCACAGAGAAAATAGACCAGATGCTCGCCTCTCACTCCTTCACTGTAGGGTACATCTACTCTACAGAGAAGAACGACCCTCTGGAGGTCGATCTTCTAGTGTTCAATTTAGTGGGCTAGTGTAGACCCCCCAAATGGAACACTGAGGCCAGCTCCCGCCCGTGTCTTATACTCCTCATTCTGCGAGCAGTAAGGGAAGCCGATGAGAGTGTGTGCATTTTGTGTAGCTGGTTGGCTTACCTTAAGCCAGGGGTCGGGGGCTGCTGACCAACAGGAAAAATAGTCATGGGTCTCCCTGACATGGCCCCCAACTGAGGAGAAAGACACTCCTCACATTCCCCTGGCCCACCAGAGCTGAGGGGGGCCCAGCCTAGTAGATATTGTGTGCTCCTGCAGTGTGGTGGTGCAGCAGTGTGGCTGGAGCACCTGCACAGCCTCCCCAATGCTGGCGGGGGGTGGGGCTCTGAGACTCAGGGGCTGGATCCAGGCAAGTCGGGGATCACATCTGGCCCCTGGGCGTGAGGTTCTCCACCCTTGCCTTAAGCTGACCTGCCTGGTCTAGTATAGACCAGGCCTGAGACTCAACACTCTTAGGCATAAAAGGAAGTTATATCCATCTAGCCCTTGGCTTTGCGTTTGACACTTGCAACGAGGCTGCTGCTGTTGGTGATGGGGTTGTATGCGGTGAATGCCTATCTACCAGCAGTGGGCTGAAACCACCAATATCATTTCAAACAGGATACTCTAGAACAGCCATGAGTTGGCAGCCACTTTCCTCCACTCCTGACCCAGGAATCAATGAAAGGTTTTGTAGCTCATTCCCTCTTCTGACCCAACTAGCTCCAGGAGGACCATGTTTGTCCCTGAGACACAAGAATGGGGAAGGAGCCAGATTACTCACTAGCTAAGCAGAGTAAAGCACAAATTCCTCAAAGAGAAACAACAAATACACCCGTCAAACTGCAGGTCTGAAAGTTACGCTGCTCTGAAATCCAGGCCTAGATCCAACAAAGCATTCCCAGTCTGAGGGACCAGGAACACGGGAGTAAATGCTGCTAGCTCACCAAATTCCAGAGCTATAGGCAAACACTGGCTGCAATGGGACCTGTGTTGGGAGCCTCAGCTTGCAAAGATCTAAAGCAGAGCTTCTCCAGCTCTGGTCCATGCTCCATCCATTGCTCCCTGTGCCCTTCCTGGTGGTCTGCAAAATAAAACACTGAGTGACCTGTGGCGGGCTTGGCTCAGGCCAGCTCCAGCACAAAGCACCTCACTCTTGCTCTAGCGGTTCATGAGTAACACAACATCAGGAACATCAGGTCTGCAGCACACGTGTGTCCGGTGGCTGCAGGAAACAGGTACTAGATCAGTCAAGCCCTCCCACAGGTCCCCACCAAGCCTTTCATGGAGGGATCATCAAGACACAGCCACCATATCCCCAGCACAGCTCCCGGGCCCTTGAGAGGGCCAGGCAGGAAGTCTCACCCTCGGACGGCATGGAGCAGGCGCAGAGAGGGGTAGGCGGTGCGGACGTCAATGCGGTGCTTGAGGATGAGCTCGTTCACCCACTCCACGCGCTCCTTGCCCCCCTTGGCCATGAACGCTGGGATCCAGAGGATGCTGCCGTTGAGGCTGTGGAGACGCTGCAGCAGCTTCTCCCGCCAGGTCTCGTTCACCAGGTCCTCGAAAGCCCGCTGGATGACCGAAGGGTTCATGGTCACAAGGTCTGTCTTCGTCCCCACGTCCCAGGCATATTCCTGGACAGGGGCCAGATTACACCTGCAACACAGGAGAGGGCGTCAAGGGAAGGAGAACAACAAACCTGAGTGGGTGGATGCTAGCACTGGGGTAAGGCACTGGGTTGCCAATCCTGGGGTGGCATAGGTAGCACCAGGGCGCGGATGCACCTCCCCTTTGCGTCCCTTCTTGGGACGAGAGCAGAACTCAGTCTCCAGGGCTCAGTCCCTCTTTGCCCTCTCTTTGCAGAGACCAACTGGAGTGGGGAGGGAGAGGGGCAATCAATGCTTGAGGAGTGTGGTGGTGATGCAGCAGCCTGGGGTACTGGCTGAGCACAGTTCTAGGGACCAGGAGTGGCTCATGTTTAGGTTGACACATAGTTTCACAAAAAATACCGTACCCCATCAAAAAGCTGCACTGCAAGTCCCAAGCGGCCTTCCAGCCTTCCATTGGGCTCCTGAGAGTTTTAGATGTCTGGTATTTTCTGAATTTTTTTACCAGACAGAAAGCACAAATACCCATCTGTCCAGTTCAATACCTGTCTGGACACTTGGCAACCCCACCCATGTTGAATCCTGCCTCTGCCACTGTCTGCCTGGATGACCCTTGGCAAATCACTTAGCCCGTGTCCCCTGCCTGAATGTAGGTCAAGAACAACAGGGGGATGTTAAGAGGATTTGTTAATATTTTATTACAAGCAGGGGAGCATGATGCCGATGAGGGCACCTGCCTACTGGTGGTGTTTGTTCAGCGAGCTACATGAAATGCCTTTCAGTCACCACAACCCCAGATCAGACTCATGGCAGATATCGTAGGAAAAAGCGTCTGCCTCCTGTTACCAATTCCCTGGAACATGATCTATCCAGAGCCTGCTAGTAATATACCAGTGGCTCCTAGGCATCTGGCTATGTTGCTACTGTGACTTCAGAGCACATGATTCAGCTCAAGACTATGGTTTTAATATAGAAAAAAATACTATGGGAAGAGCAACTCAGACAGTGTGTGTGTACCATGCAAATGTGTGGAGAATAGTGTCCGCATATGTGTATGCTTATGAATGTGTACGTCTATGTGCCCAGGTCTATGTCGGCACGCATGTTTGCACAGTTGTGGGAATGGCTTCATCTGTGTCTCTACAGGCACACACTTGCTTTTGAATGCGCTAAAGTGTGTAGGTATGTTTGTAAGGTTTGCACACGTGGCTCGGTGTGGATGTTCATATATGTCCCAGGGTATTGGCGGTCCTGTGCCCGGCTCACCCGTAGGGTTGCCAGATGGTTTAAAAACAATGGACAAAAATTTGTCAAGCAAAAACAAAAAACAAACAAAAAAAGGGTCGGGGAGTAACCAGGGAAACCTGGGGGGAGAATTCGGGGGGTTGGACCGAAATGTGGTCATGGCCCACCCCTAAGACAGCTCTGTCAGCGGCCCCTTGAAAATGGTGGCCCCAGGCAACCACCCGGCTCGCCAACCCCTGAGACTGGCTCTGTGCTCAGTTAAGAGACACCAGGGAACAAAATGCCTATGTTTGCTGCTATGACAAATTTGAATTGAAGTGACTTTTCCAGAGCAGGGAAACCCTCCGTGCAGTGGAGATCTTATGTGTCCCATTGCATCAGTATCAGAGCATCCAGCTCTGAATGTCAAGTGGGATGAGATGCAGAGCCCACTGGTACCTCTGGCGAGGGGGCCACAGAATTGCTGGGCTCTGGGCAAGGCATGGGGAGGGGGCGGGCTGTACTCCTAGAAGGGGCGGGGCCACAGTGGAAAGGGTATGGCTGGAGGCTAGCTCCCCCCACGCCTCAGCCCTTCAGTGCCACCGGGGACTTCAGTGGTGATTTAAAGGCCTGGGGCTCTAGTCAGCACCAGTGCTACAGTGAATGGCCAAGCCCTGGAACAGCTACTCTCTCTTCCCCCTCCCCCATCGGTCAGCCTGACCTCTGATGATGGTGTGTGTACCAGGGAAGGGGGAGGCACAAACAGTGGCTGGCACCTAGCACAAGCAGAACCCATCACTGGGAAGAGAGAGGAGCTGGCCATGTAGCCTCAGGAAATGCTTTGTTCTAGCCTGGCTGGAGTCATATTATCCCAAATCCTTTCTTCTCCTCTCAGCCATTGCCTGCTAGCAGCAGACCCCGTGGCACCAGCAATGGTAATGATAGCCCTGGCCTCCACCTCCCGTGGGTATCAATGACTGTGGCCTTCACAGGGCCAGGCTGCTTAGGGGCTGTGACTCGGAGAAACCTCTCTGCAATGGTGCCCCCTCTAAGAATGGGTGCCCATGCATGCACCCACGTGCAAACACACGTGCACAAGCACACGTACATGCACAGGCACATGCGTGTGCACAGACACGCACACAAAGGGAATTCGCAGCTTCTGCTCTGAAAACTCGTCACACTCACTGTCTGTAATTCCAGCCCATGTGGCGGAGCAGGGGAAGCCATGAGGCAAGGAGGCTGAGAGGGATACATTTGCATCAAGCTGGAACCAAAACAACCGCTTGCCCAGTTGCTCCTGACGGTGGTCTCCAAGTCACTTATTTTTGGCATTCTGGCTGTGGGACAGATGACTACTGATCCATTACTACGCACCAGAGCCCGGTGCTGGCAGAATGGAGCATGTGAGCAACTGATGGGACCTCACAAGGCCCTGAAAGGGTGCCCTTCTTCTGTGCCAAAACCTCTGGAACACCCTCATGTTGCCCATCAAATCCATTTTGGTAGTGCCTTGCAGCTGAAGTCTCAAAGCCTGTACTGAGCACTGAAGAATTACTTCTCCCAACTATCACTACAGCAAAGTCTTTGTCAGTATCCTCATATTGTCAAGGGGGAAACTGAGGCACAGACCGATTACGTGAAAGCAGAAAGCCTACAAGGAATGGAAGCTGTCAGGGATCAGCAACAAAAACTACCTATTGGAGGTCAGACAGTGTAGGGATAAAGTGAGAACTGTCAAAAGCCAAGCAAAGTTAGACCTTGAAAAGGGAATTTAAACCAATAGTAAAAGATTCAATAGCCATATAAATAAGAAGAAAACATGGAAAGAAGAAAAGGGACCTCTAGGCACTGAGGATGGAGTAGAGATCAAGGCATGGCCCAACGCCTAAACAACTACTTTGCCTCAGTTTTAATCAGGCTAATGATGAGTTTAGGGGTAGTGGCAGGGTAGCTAATGGCAATGAAAATATGGAGGTGGAAATTACTATATCCAGTGTGGAAATAAAACTCAAACAGCTTAATGGGACTAAATCAGAGGGCCCAAATAATTTCCATCCTAGAATATTAAAGGAGCTGGCACATGAAACTGCAAACCCAATAGCAAGAATTTGTAATGACTCTGGTAACTTGAGAATTGTACCCTATGGCTGAAAAATAAAAAATCCTATTTTTTAGAAAGGGGGGAAAAGTGATCCAGGAAACTACAGGCCCATTACTTTGACTTCCACTGCATGAAGGCCTTGGAACAAATTTTGAAAGAGAAAGTTGTTAAGGATATAATGGTGAATGGTAACTGGGATAAAATACAACATGGTTTGCCAGACCAACCTGATCTTATTTAGAAGATAACTGGTTTTTTATGCAAAGGAAATGCAGTAGACTTAGTCTGCCTGGATTTCAGTAAGGCATTCCATACTATTCCATGTGGGAACATTTTAGTTAAATTGGAGAAGATGGGGATTAATATGAGAAGTGAAAAGTGGATAAGGAATTGGTTAAAGGGGTGACAACAATGGGTGAAATGTACCGAAAGGTGAACTGTGAGGCTGGAGGGAGGTTATTAGTGGAGTTCCTCAGGGATCAGTCTTAGGACCAATCTTAGTTCACATTTTTATTACCGACCTTTGCACAAAAAGTGAGAATGTGCTAATGAAATTTGCAGATGTTACAAAGTTGGGCAGTATTGCTCATACAGAGAAGGACCAGAATACCATACAAAAGGTTCTGGATGATCTTGTAAACTGAAGTAAAAGAAATGGGTCGAAAATAAATAATGCAAAGTGTGACCTCATACATTTAGGGACTAACAACTAGAATTTTTGCTACAAGCTGGGGACTTATCAGTTGGGAGTGACACAAGAAGAGAAAGATCTGGGCATATTGATTGATCACAGGAGGATTATAAGCTGTCAATATGATGCAGCTGTGAAAAAGTCGACAAAGGTGTTCTTCCTCGTAAAATGAGGCTTACCACCATCAACAAAACTGCCACGTTCTGTAGACTTACAATAGTGTAGACACAGGCCAAAACTGCCACGTTCTGTAGACTTACAGTAGTGTAGACACAGGCAAAGTTTTGTCGACAAAAGCCCACTTTTGTCGACAAAACCCTGTAGTCTAGACACACCCAGAGACAGGAAAGTGTTAGTATCATTATAAAAAGTATTGGTGAGACCTCATCTGGAATCCTGTGTGCAGTTCTGGTCTGCCTTCTTTAAGAAAGGTGAATTCAAACTGAAACAGATGCAGAGAAGGGCTACTAGCATGATCCAAGATTGGCTTGTTTAACCTAATCAAATGAAGGCAGAGGGCAGATATGATTGCTCTCTATAAATACATCAGAGGGATAAATGCAAGGGAGGAAGAGGAGTTATTTAATTAAGCGCCAAGGTGGACACAAGAACAAATGGCTATAAACTGGCCATCAACAAATTTAGGCTCAGAACTCGGCAAATCTATAAACTGGCCATCAACAAATTTAGGCTCAGAACTAGGCAAATGTTTCTAACCATCGGAGGAGAGAAGTTCTGGGCAGCCTTATAAAGGAAGTAGGGGAGGGGCCAAAAACCTAACTTACAACAAGACTGAGCTTGAGAACTTTTAGAGGGGATGGTATGATGAGATTGCCCACAATGGCATGTGTCCCCAATGACTGCCAGTAGCAAAAAGCCCCAACGGCTGGAGACAGGCCAGGACACTGGATGAGGAGGACTCTGAGGATACGTCTACATTACAGGGAAGATCGATGCTGCCACGATCGAACTTCTGGTGTTCCATGTAATGAGTCTAGTGAAGACTCGCTAAATTGAACTCAGAGGGCACCCCTGTTGGTGCTGGTACTCTTGTTCCTCACGAGGAGGAAGGGAAGTCGGCTTTCCACTGTGTGGATGGTGATTTATGATATATTGACTCCATCTACCCAATTTACGTAGCTGAAGTTGTGAATCTTAGGTTGACCTTCAGCTCCAGTAGACCAAGCCTGAGTTACTACAGAGAATTCTTTCCCAGGTGCCTGCTTGGGGGGTTTGCCCGCATGCTCAAGGCCTAACTGACTGCCATATCTGAGGTCAGGAAGAAATTTTTCCCTGGGTGAGACTGGCAGAGACAATGGGGGTTTTCCGCTTTCCTCTGCAGGATGGGGCACGAGTCACTTGCAGGTTGAAACTAGTCTAAATGGTGGATTCTCTGTATAACTAGAGCTCTTTAAATCATGATTTGAGGGCTTCAGTAACCCAGCCAGAGGTCAGGGATCCATTTCAGAACCAGGTGGGTGAGGTTCTGTAGCCTGCAATGTGCAGGAGTCAGATCAGAGGATCAGGAGGGTCCCTTCCAACCTTTAAGTCTAAGAATCAAAGTGGCTTACTCAAAGGTACACACAGCCAGGAATGGGATGCAAAAGTCCTGATTCCTAGACTCTACTCTAGTCATTAGGGCATGCTGCCTTAATGGCGAATAAACTCCAAGGGAATACAGGATCGGAAAGCTAAAGACCTGGCAGTCTGTGTGCCCAAGAATGCAGGACCCAGCTTTCCTTGTCCCCAGCCCTACTGCAGCGCAATCTACACTAGAAAAGGCTGGTTGGTATGGCTGTGCACATTTAGCTGTGCGGCAAACCCTTCTCGTGCCTATGCAGTTTGCACCAGCTTTCCAGCTTTTGCCAATCTAATGTATTCTGGTTCCCTGAGCAAAGTAAGTTATACAGCAAAAGCGCTTTCTGCAACTGTGTCCACACTAGGGCTTCGGTCATAGAAATGTTGCCACCCCATCAGCTGACCTTCGTAGTGTAGACCTTGCCTACGAGAGTTGTCACTGTTGCTGTCCTAAGGACCCCGGCCTAACCCTTGCTGTGCCCATGGCAGCCTGGGTTTTCCATGCTGGCTTTTGTTCCACTTCAAGCTGCTGAGCAAATCATCCAGGGAACATACCCATAGATCAGAGAGAGACCCTGAGCTCCACTCTGACACCCAGCATGGTTGGGTTGACCATGCTCATGCAGAGGATAACGGAAGCATCATCTCCTTTCCCATGTCACACGCAGGATTGCTGATATAAGCCACTGATAGATTGGGCTGTCTTCATAATAGACTTGCCAGAAAGCAAGTGTCTGTGCAGACATAAATCACCAGCAGACATGCAGCGCTCCTCAGCTAACAGATCTGCATGGGCTTGGGGTCAAGGGGCAGGTACTTTCCTTCTCTGGGTTTGGTATTGCAAGTATTAATTTGACAGTTGTGTGACTGGGAATGTAAGTGTGTGTGTGTGTGTGTGTGTGTGTGTGTGTGTGTGTGTGTGTGTGTGTGTGTGTGTGTGTGTGAGTGAGTGAGAGAGAGAGAGAGAGAGAGAGAGAAGTGGAGAGTACATGTCTGGCTTGTGTAGGGATTCTATGTGTTCCAGTAAGGGGAAAGAGGTGGTATGTCTTTGTGTACATGGGTGCTTGTGTATGTGTGAGCGTGTGCATGTGTAAGGACAGAGTGTGCGCTGGGGTGGGAGTGATGCATATGAGGGAGGCTTGGATTGAGTTGTCTGTGGACTGGATGTAGGTGACAGTGGGAGAAGGTAGGGAGTGTGTGGGTTGGAATGGTATGTGTGTCTGTATGGTTGGCTTGCATCAGGGGTATTTGACTGGGGTATGTGTCATCAGTGTTGGTGTACTTCTTTGCCAAGCCGTGGGGGGCGACGTGTGTTGGAGGGGAGAGGTGGCATGTGTGAGATGTGTATGTTTCTATGTTAGGGTGTGAGTGGTGGGAGTGTGTCTGTGCGGGTGTGGAGAGGGTGGTGGTGGAAGTGTTCATGACAGGAGAGGGGTCTGTGTGGGTGGATAGTGTCGACGGAGCCATGTAGTTTAGATGTACCCCCAGTGAGAGAAAAGGCTCTCGCTGGCCCCGTTGCCTGGCTCGGAGTCTGGGGGATCCTATCCCTGGGTCCCTGTGAGTTTTGTGATCGTGAGGAGCAGCCCTGCTGTATGAGAGGCCAGGCCTCTCTGACCCGGCACTACCTGATCACGAAGTGTGTGGGTGGATAGTGTCGACGGAGCCATGTAGTTTAGATGTACCCCCAGTGAGAGAAAAGGCTCTCGCTGGCCCCGTTGCCTGGCTCGGAGTCTGGGGGATCCTATCCCTGGGTCCCTGTGAGTTTTGTGATCGTGAGGAGCAGCCCTGCTGTATGAGAGGCCAGGCCTCTCTGACCCGGCACTACCTGATCACGAAGTTATGAGCGTCAATCTCCTTCCCACAGCCGCTGCTCAGCAGGATCCCCGAGCTGCCCACGATGGCGCAGGTCCGGAAGTGCTTGCCCTTCAGGGGCGGTGTCCTTGGCAGCAGCTCGTACAGGTTCTGTGAGACGTTCATGGTGCTGTCCCTGTCAAAGACATAGTGGATGACGTCCCCGGGCTTCAGGGTCCCCTTCAGCACCGAGATATCCTTCTCGGCATCCAGGAACTTCAAGATCTGTTTCCTTGGGAAAGAACGAAAACAGGCATTAAGGAAAGCTTGCGGCCTGGCCTCCAACTGCAAAGCATCCTCCTCCTGCCTGTCTATGCTCCACAGCAAGGCTGAAAGCCTTCAAGAGCCACTATGACTTCAGTATTCCACCTGCTAACCCACGAGTAGGATCAAACATCTCCCCTCCTTCATGTGAGCATCTCCCATGCCCCCCTTTCCACCGGAGCAGGTCCTCAAGCTCCCATCACATCCAGTTCTGCTCTCAACCAGCAGGAGCCACCGCGTTGATCCACAGGGCAGCAGATTTTGTATTCCACCTGCTAACCCACGAGTAGGATCAAACATCTCCCCTCCTTCATGTGAGCATCTCCCATGCCCCCCTTTCCACCGGAGCAGGTCCTCAAGCTCCCATCACTTCCAGTTCTGCTGTCAACCAGCAGGAGCCGCCGCGTTCACCCACAAGGCAACAGATTTCCTTCCCTCCAGGAGTGGCTGATTGTGATGCCTCTGCAGGGCCCTCTAGCCCCTGCTTCTCTCCGCCAGTGGAGGCTCAAGCCTTGCAGCTCTGTTAGCGTGAGGCCACCGGGCTGAGCTGGGAATTCGTTTCCAAGCGATCGCTTGTGGATATGAATGCTGGCCCAGCAGGAGATAAACATTTTATTTCTCTCTTGACTTCTGTAGATGATATACAGAGGCAATTTGCCAGTTTGCACTGGAGAGGACCAAATCTGTCTCTTGTCCGATAGGTAATTACCAGTACCTGATCTTCAAAGCGAGTGTCTGGTTGTGTCTCCATCTGAATGAAGCTGGTGTAATGTTGTGCTTAATGCTTTCATTACTTCTGTCAACAACAGCTGGAGATGAAGAGCCATTTATTACTACTTCAGCTCTAGAGAAAAGAGAGACAGAAGGGGAGGGGGGAGATGCGATCTGTTAGCATCCCAATGGCATCTCTAATCGCTCTGAGGTGGCTGGGATTCAAACTTCTTCAGAAAAACAAAATTGCAGTTATTACCTGAGCAGGGAAGGAAAGCCTATTTATTTTCTGCTATACACACATATGGGCACAAATTTACACAAACACAGACATAAACGCAGATAGACTTACACAAATGACAGACAGAGTCACAGACACGTGAATACACGGACAGACTGCCACACACTCAGGCTCAACAGGCAGACACACTTAAGGCTACGTCTAGACTGCAATCTTTTTCCGGAAGAGGAAATGCAAATGAAGCACTCATTAGCATTTCTCGTGCTCTTATTTGCATATCTTTTTCCGATCCTTTTTGCGGAAGAGGTTTTTGTGCAAAAAATCCCTGTGTACATGGGGCTTTTTTGCGCAAAAAAGCCCCATGTACACAGGGATTTTTTGCACAAAAACCTCTTAGAATCATAGAATCATAGAATCATAGAATAATAGGACTGGAAGGGACCTCGAGAGGTCATCGAGTCCAGCCCCCCGCCCTCAAGGCAGGACCAAGCTCTGTCTACACCATCCTTGACAGATGTCAGGGAAAAAGGATCGGAAAAAGATATGCAAATAAGAGCACGAGAAATGCTAATGAGTGCTTCATTTGCATTTCCTCTTCCGGAAAAAGATTGCAGTCTAGACATAGCAAGATACACACCCACAGACACCCACACAAACAAAACACAGAGAGAATCTCTTAGCCACAGATACAGGTTCACACACACAGAGGTTCTAGACACTGACAGCAAATGCAGTCTGGATCACAGATGATGACACAACCAGCTACAAACCCAAACGCACTTCTCACAAAAGACAGATCTACCTATTATGCTGGATTAAACCCACCTCATAACAAAGTGACCTTTATTTTAGCTCAGTGCGTGAAATTAATTTAGTTGAAATGTTGGGCAGTGCATGCTGGATTTGGTACTCCGGGTCGAACCTGTACACTCTCTGGTCTGGCAACATCAGTGGTCCAGCATGATTTGAGTTAACTGGTTGTTGACTTATCATGGGTGTGGCCAAGTTTCCTGTGGTCCCACAAAGTTTGCTTATAGCCACCAGTCCTGGCTCTCAGTGTTCTGTGCTGTTATTTAGCCTAAGTTACCCCTAAATGTCTTCGAAGGCTACATGTACTCTGTGCTGTTATTTAGCCTAATTTACCCTTAAATGTCTTCGAAGGATACATGTATGCAGTGGTCCTATTTCAGGATATCACTGGTATTCCAAAATAGCTATTCTGCATCTTAAGTGGAAGCCCATTATATCAAAAGATAACAGGCTCACTATTCCTACGGCCCCGTAAACCTCATTGCATGAGGGATAACAGACATTTTGGAATAGCACCTTATTTCGAAATTTGGCACTGTGTGGACAGCACCAAATTTTGAAAAAAGCTATTTCAAAACAACATTGAAATAAGCTATTTCGAGGTAAGGGTGCTGTGTAAACGCACCCTAAGAGCCCATAAGCAGTGAAAGTATTGGTAATGCTGCTAGACAATATTGATCGCCCGGGGACTGGCAAATTCTCTGGTTCAGCACTGCTCAGATTCGGAGGGTGTCAGACTAGAGAGATTCAACCAGTACTGCCAAACGCCCCATTACAAACGGCAGGGCTCTTAGGTCACTTTTCTTCCCTTCAGGGGAGAACAATGGGATTTCAGTGCATTCATTCTGCACAAGGGGCACAGGCATTGGGGAATGACTGGTCAGGGAGGACCAGAGAGTAGTCATGTGCCCAGCTACCACTCTGGACATGATCATTCTGAGACCCTGAATTTAACCAGAAAAACAATCAAGACCCCAACATTTCAATTCACTTTGCATCCAGTGGCATAACTGGCAGGAGGCTCTGCATACTTTATGTCTGTGAGCTTCTCTCCAAAAAGAAGAACCGAGAGGCTCACCAGGAAGCACAGCATGTGTGTGCAGCCCAGAAAAACCCTTCACCCTTCAGAGTATGCTAAAAAATTCATAGCCATTGTGTTTGATGCCAGCTAAGCGGAATGTCCCTCCTTAGTACAAGGGGCCTCTTTTAGCCAGCAGAGAGTCAGCAAATAAAGAGATCTACACCAAGCAGGTCAACACCCCAGCGGGAGAGAGGCATGGAGTGCAAATAGAAGGGGATGCTTTTGATCGCACCAGGTAAAACTGTCCTGATAGTGAGCTCTGGCAGCTGCAGCCTCATGACATAAGGCCATGTCCATTCAGGATGCTGCAATGTGGGGTACAGCAGTGCGGTGTCATAAGAACATAAAAACATAAGAGCGGCCATACTGGGTCAAACCAATGGTCCATCAAGCCCAGTATCCTGTCTACTGACAGGGGCCAATACCAGATGCCCAAGAGGGAGGGAACACAACAGGTAATCCTCACGTGATCCCTCCCGTCACCCACCTCCAGAGAAACAGAGGCTAGCAATACCATTCCTACCCATGCTGGCTAATAACCATTGATGGACTTAACCTCCATGAATCTATCTAGCTCTTTTTTTAACCCTGTTAAAGTCCTAGTCTTCACCACATCCTCCGGCAAGGAGTTCCACAGGTTGACTGTGCGCTGAGTGAAGAAAAACTTCCTTCTGTTTGTTTTAAACCTGCTCTCTACTAATTCCATTTGGTGACCCCTAGTTCTTATATTGTGGGAACAAGTAAATAACTTTTCCTTATTCACTTTTTCTACACCAGTCTTGATTTTATAGACCTTTATCATATCCCCCCTTAGTTTCCTCTTTTCTAAGCTGAAAAGTCCAGGTCTTTTTAATCTCTCTTCATATGGGACCCATTCCAAAGCCCTAATCATTTTTGTTGTCCTTCTTTGAACCTTTTCCAATGCCAATAGATCTTTTTTGAGATGAGGCGACCACATTGGTACACAGTATTCAAGATGTGGGAGTACCATGGTTTTATATAACAGCAATAGGAGATTTTCTCATTTATTCTCTATCCCGTTTTTAACGATTCCTAACATTCTATTTGCTTTTTTGACTGCTGCTGCACACTGAGTGGATGTTTTCAGAGAACTATCCACAGTGATGCCAAGATCGCTCTCTTGAGTAGCTGTAGGTAAATTAGATCCCACCATTTTGTACATGTATACAGGTAGTCCCCAGGTTACGTACAAGATAGGGACTGTAGGTTTGTTCTTAAGTTGAATTTGTATGTAAGTCAGAACTGGCATCCAGATTCAGCTGCTGCTGAAACTGACCAGCGGCTGACTACAGGAAGCCCGAGGCAGAGTTGTTCCATATTAGGCAAATGAGGCATCTATTGTCTTCCAATGATAGAATAAGTCCTTTCACCACTAAGGTATTCGGTAACAATAGACATGGTCTTCTCCTTGTGTTTCTTTAAAATGAAAATGGAGAGCTTGCACATATTACTCCAGGAGAGTACAATTGGGAATCCCAGGCAGAGGGGAGATGCCTTCCACTGGCCCAGACTTAGACTTGTTTCATTGTAACTACATCCCTGCATGCCTGAGCAACAGAGATGTACTGACCCTAACCTCTGGTATAGGCAACACTAGGTTGGAGAGACAACTTCTCCTGTCAGCATAGGTACTGCCTCTCGGGGCGGTGGATTAACTACGCCAAATGCAGAGAGCATTTTCATGCAGACCAGGGAGACGCGGAGCAGCTTTTCTCGCCCCGGAGGACGCGGGCGGCTGGACCGCGGCGCATCTGGGCATCCCGCCCCCCGCGCCCTCCGGGGCGAGAAAAGCCCCGTTCGTAACTGCGGATCCGACTTAAGTCAGATCCGCGTAACTCGGGGACTGCCTGTAGTTGGGATTATTTTTTCCAATATGCAGTACTTTACATTTCTCTACATTCAATTTCATCAATGTCATAGTGTGATTCCTTTCCTCCTGAAATGCTGGCTGTCCTGGGCAGGTCGCCTTGGCAATTTACTGCCAGTTGAAAGGAGGTCTCTTTGCTTCAGGTACAGATGGGGAATGATTGACAGGAGATCTCAGGCACATGTGAGGGTATTTAGGACTTATGCTACTTAATATTTAGAGAGGGAAGCTGAATATATTTCTAGGTGCTAGTTACCACTGTGTGTGTTTATACAAAATAGCAAAGTATGATCTGTGGAGACTGCCAATAAGGATAATTACCAATCTCGCACTTCGCCACATAATCTGATCTCCTGCAAGGCAAATTTAGAAAATGCAAAAAAATGCAGCCACGTGGAGAAAACCCTTGTAGCAATCACTGTGATTTTGTTGTGCGTGACGGTTTTTGTATTTTGATGATGTTTGTGGCATCACCATGTCACAGTGTGATGCAATGACACAAAGTGTCACTGACTGACGTCACTAAGCTACCCAATTATGGCACATAACAATGTTGTGATGACATGGGCTGATCTTGCAAATGACCTAAAAGGAGGTCCCAAATACCATTAAATGTCCATAATGCCACAGAATGACTGTGATTTGTGATGTCTCTGTGTCACCGAGGCTATGTACACCCAGCGGCATTATTTCGAGCTAGAGGACTTCTTACTCTGACTCCTGTAACCCTCATTGTACGAGGAGTAAGGGAATTTGGAAGAAGAGTGCTCTTCCTCATACTTCCGGCTCTGTACACAGCACCAAAAGCTGAACTAAGCTATTTCAATTCAAGCTACGCAATTAACGTAGCTCAAGTTGCGTAGCTTAGTTCAACTTTAGCTCTGCTGTGTAGACATACCCTGAGTGGCATTATGATGCAACAGAATGATGGTCATAGGAAGACATCCTTTTTTAAATACCTCAGTGGAAAATTGCAAAGGTGGCAACTTTTCCTCTGACTTAGTTTGTACAATAAATGATTCTCTTCCATATCCTCAGCCACTGCAATTTGCAGATCCCGGGTCATTTGCAAATAATTATTGCATTAAAAGAGAGGGAGAATGATTAAGAAAATGCAAAGCAGAAGTGGAAAGAACCAGATACATTTGCTAAATAAGAAGAGTACCATCCAGCAAAGAAGATTAATAGCTGCCTTACAGCAAAAACAAATGAACACAAAATCTAATTTACAAACCTATTAGATTTGCTATGTAAGCTGTTCACAGCTGATCTGATTGTACCTCTGCCGCCAGAATTCCTGCAAGACAAAGGAAATGCATTATTTATAAACCCAGCTCCTCTTTGCAAAGCATTGTTCAACAGTCAAGAGAACCCCAGTCCGGAGAGTTTCAAACAGAGAAGCTGCAACAAACACTCATATTCCCCACAATCCAAATGGCAACATTCCACGATGGGGAAGGGGTTTCATGCCTTCCTTGATTAGCAATACCAAATTATGACTAAATGAAAAGTGGGGAGCAACGCCCTTCTAGTAGCCCAAAGGATCCCTTAAAAGTAATTTTCATTGATGATTTCAAAGGGGCACAGGCTTTTAGTCATGGGCCTGATCCTGTCATCCTGACAAGCTGCACTTGGAGCAAGGCAAGGGATAAGCAGTATAACAAACCACCTTTATGCTACCCTGATCCTAAGGCAGACTATGGGGCAGTCCAGCCCTATTCTCAGCATGTTCCTCTAACTTACATTTGACTGCCCCAATATGGTGGCTGCAGATCAGTAGGAGCAAGGACTCCCTGGCCACACCAATGTTCCCTCTAATCTTTTCCATCCACATGTGAATGTTTTTTCCATCCATGTACAGAATAATTTTTTATGTGCACCAAAGCATGCGCGAATGTTCACCACCAGGAGAAACAAAAAGCTTAGCTGTGGGAGCTCTGCTAATCAGCTGGGCGGCACTGGAATCTCTCCTAAGTGATCGCACAAGTGCTCAGCTTACAGGGAATACTAGGTCACACCCTTTTTTGCCTGGCCATACTCATATATCAATGACCAGAAGTGGGACTGGCATAGGAGCTAAATTTCCAGCCCATGGTCATGTGTTCTTAAAAAAATGACAACTGCAGATGGGCTGGAATCCCAGATCGAAAATGCTGCCTGCAGAGCAAATTTGGATCAGAATCCTAATCTGAACATCACAGCTTGGGCCCATCTCCAAACAGGACTGTTCCTCTGTAGCTGCCCTTTTCACCTGAGGATCTCATCTCACGTGATGTGATCCCAAATTTATAGGTGGGATCCAGCATCTGAGAATGTACCATGGAGTCCTCCTTCTTCCCATCCTATCCTGTACCTAGAATGTTGTCAGTGTGAGAAAGAGGAAAGATTAGTTTAACGGAGAGGGTGCTTTTTGGGTTGGTTGTTTCTGTGGGTTCATACTCTGAGTTTCAACTTCATGCTGAAACAACCAAGAGCACTAGGTTTTTGCATGGTCTCCACCGCTGACACAGGTTTCAACTTCATGCTGAAACAACCAAGAGCACTAGATTTTTGTATGGTCTCCACCGCTGACACACATGACTCCCAGAAATGGATTAACTCCCCAGATGGACAACCATCACATGGCAATGGACACAGGCCACACCTCAGCCTTTGAGAGTGGATCCCAAGGACCCACAGACTCTATTACAAGCCCTGGCTGGAGTAGACAGTCTGGTTCCAAGCTGGTCCTGATCATTTCTCTCCAACAAATTCCAGTTGAGTGATGGGTAACTGCTCTTTATTCTCCCCAGCCCTTACAGGTGGACTGTCTGAGCAGCCATCCTTTTCAATGTACAGAGGAGCCTTTAGCAGAAATTGTCTGCCACCAGCATGCTGAGGAGATCCCTGGCCAGACTACAACTCCACTGACAATGTGCCACATAGTTTAGTCAGAGGGAAGACTGTGTTGAATTATGGGAGTGGTAGTCTGGCCAGAGAGCCCAGCCTATTCAACAGAAGAGTGCTATCAAGCAATCTGAATTTCAGTGCACATGAGGCAGCATGCCACAATAGAGAAATGCAATTTAATGGACTCAAAATAAATACATTAATGTTCAAACAGACATGAAAGGAAATATTGCATGATAGTTTTCCCAATGGACAATTTTTTTTCAGCAAAATCAAAATTTGTCCTCAGAAAATTTTGATTTTTTTCCAAAACTACATTTTCCATCACAAAAATTCCCAACCATCTCTATTAATTATAACCTCACCTCTATCACAGGTGTCTGGCACCCAGGTCATCAAAGTTGTGATGAATAGGAGAGATACTAGCCTTTTCTGGACATCCCAGCCATTCCGTTCACAAATTTGCCCATAAATGTTAAAACAATAGACAGTGGGTCCTAGAGAGTCTTCAGGAATGCAAGAGAAGCAGGAAGTGTTTACAGAAAGCTAGGAGAGCTAGTGGAAACAGAGTGTGAATTTTGAATTGGAAGCAATGATTTTCTTGTGCCAGTCTGTGTAACCAGCTCAGAGCTGGTAGACATGAATTAAGCCAGGGGGGCAGGCATAGAATCCAGTGACATCCATGCCTAGGGAAGGACTAAACCTTGGAACAACAGATATGTGAGTAGAACAGGGAATGTTTAGTCAGATACGATGGGGCTATTCTCTTTAATTTTGGATTTGTTGGATTGCTCTGTGCTGAGCCCATCTACTACCCCGCCCCCCGTACATTTGTTGGATTGCTCTGTGCTGAGCCCATCTACTACCTCCCCCTTGTACACTGTCACTTTTAAACTGAACTGCAGGGAAGCAATTTTCTGAGCCTTCAATCTTTTTTCAATTGTTCTGTAATGTCTAGCAACTAAATAATGTTTTACCAAGCATGTTTTGTTTTGTTAATAAAAATCATCTTTTTAGGACCATGATCTGATTCCTGTGTCCTAGAATGTAGGGGGTTCATGTTCACGGGCCTAAAACGGCAAGGTCAGCTAGTAAGAGAATTACAGTTTTTTTTCAAGATCTCTCCAGAGAGAGGGTTAAAGAGCTTGAGGGTACCCCACAGGAAGAAATTCCCAAAATGCATCTTCCTAGGCTCTCAAAGGGGGTTTTGCTTTTGTGTGATAGCTATACCATCCAAGGTCAGAGATGTGACCATGGGAGTTTTTTTTAACTGAAACCTTTAGTAGCAGGGTATTTTAAAGCCTCTTGCAGGCCCCCATCTTCTGTACACCAAGTGCCAGAGTGGGTAACAGCCTTGACAGAAATAGTGCACAGCCAATACAACTCTGCTTGTCAACTCTGCTTGTCTAGAATACAATGTCTTCCTCCAGGACCCCAGGAAACTTCATGCTTCTCTCTCAAATGAGGACATGGCAAACAAGATCATCTTCTCCTCATTGCTTGTCTAGTCAGGCTAAGCCAAAAATCTCCATCCTGTCCAACAGACAGCAGCCCACCTCCTGGGCAAGACGTGGGGAACATATCAAACCAGCACAGTCTCCAGTGGCTTTCTGTGCTCAGGGCTGGCACTAGATCAAGGTCCTGGTATTCATCTACCAAAGCCTTTGGAGAGTCAGAATGTGATACCACACCACAAACAGTCTCAATGAAATCATGGGGACTATTTGGTGCAGTCTATTATGGGCTGGACTAGGTTACCCAAGTTAAGCTTTGTCATTCATGATTTTGAGACCATTTTCCTTGCAAGACACAGAAACTTGATCTTCCTGAAGTCACACTCTTGCAAGCCGGAGGTAAGACGTTTCTGGAGTTGGCTCCTAAACTAATGCAACACTCTACCGGGGAAGGAGGAAAAAAACAGGACAAGTGTTTAATCTGCAGCATGCTGACTGCAAAGTGCACTCTTTCTCTAGCCTGACATTCTCTGGGAATTGGCCCCCCTGTTCCTACTGATGCTCCATGGGAGTGAGGCATGTAACTCTCAGATCCATTGGAATATGCCAGCTTTGAGTTTTGTGTCCTCTTAGTTTCCTGTGCCCACTGTCTAGGCCAGGGTTATTCAACTTTGGAAGGCTCGGCTGTCTAGGCCAGGGTTATTCAACTTTGGAAGGCTTGGGGGGGCCACAATAATACTCACAGCACATGCCGAGGGCCGCAACTTAAGTGTGGTTGCATATACATGCAAATATATATGCAAATATATGCAAATAGCTTTTCACACTGGTGGTCATGAATACAAAGCGCTTCCCACAATGCCCTGGCACTGCTGGCACCTCCTCCCTGGGGGCTAGAAAGGCCAACACCCTGTACCCATCTGTTTCAGCCAGCTCGTCCATTTTCATCTTTCAATGCTCACCCCACCTGGGAGATGCCATTGTGGAGCGTGTTCCCAGTGGAGGCCATGTTCAAAGGATCCCACCCATGGGCCATGTGTTGAGTCCTGTATAAACCCAAACCTGTGCAAACAAACGTGCCGTGGGCTGCATTCCGCGTGTTGAGTAGCCCTGGTCTGGGCACTAGATGATTGTGAAGTGTAAGTACTACAGCTGCTCAGGATTTTAAAAAAATGTTTAGATTTTCAACTGGACATTTTTTTGGATGAAAAATTCCTTTGGGAGACCTGTGTGCTCCCATCCATCCCAGCTGTACCAGGCAGCCCCAAGAGGAGAAGCATCAGAAAAGAAAAGAGTACTGTACCTTCAGAAAACAATTGAGTTTGGAGTGAAAACTTGGGGAGCTGGGAGAAAGGTTCCTTATTTTATCTGAGCTGGAGCCTCACCCTCTCTTAATATCAAATCCTCTGAACAGCGTGTCTGGGGCATAGTGCTTTGGGGCATGCCAATTTCCTGCTTCCCACAGGATACTGCTTGTTATCCCACTGGTGGGATCCCTCCCGGAACGGCTTTTTTCATTCCTTTGACAAGTCTGAGAATCAATTGCTATTTCATCCTGTCAAGGGGGTGGCAGGGCAGATTCATTCACAAAGCTTATTGGCATTTATCAAGCATCCATTTTAATAGGGTTCACTGCAGGGTGCGAGAGCAGTCTAGATTAGTGTGCAATCTGCGAATCCTTTTCAATCACGCGTCCTTTGAAGAAGCCGTCCAAATGGGATTTGCGCTCCCTCACACTCTCTGAAATACAGATAGGGACTGGATTAAGGGCTTAGAAAGGGAAACACATTTCCCTACTGCCTGCATAAGTGGGTGCCCCAAATCTCTGTGACACTCAGGAAAAGAGAATCCTTAGGAATTAGAAGGCAGAGAAGACCCTGGTGGCTGGGGCTGTGTCCAACTGAGAAGGGGGAGATCTTGTCAGTGGAAGAATTCAGTGGAAGAATTCTTGCCACAGTCATGTGACAAGAGGGAGTGTGACATGTGATCCATGTTGGAGGATCACCGGGAGCCACTTGTGCAGAGTTCTCTTTCCGGTGCTCGCTCGTTGATGCCCTGACATGAGAATGATGCCAGGAGAAAAAACAAACGATGGCTCTGCCTGCACATATTCACTGTAAGTGCTTCCCCCCTTTCTCATCAGCATTTGTCAAGCTTTTCTCCGGCGGGAGGGCGGATTTAAAGCTCACAGTCCTGAGGGCGCGTGAAGTGCAGACAGGGAGAGCGCTGCAGGCATCCGAGCTCATCCAGGATTGGAGAGGCATCCTCCCATTTACATCGTTAGCCTGAGGGCCTCTAAACTAGTTCAGGCCACGGCTCTGACATAAGGGAACCACGGAGAGACTCGATGCCTAATGCCTCCAACCTGGTGGCATCTCAAAGGAGGGACAAGCTGTGGCCTGATGGAAGGTGTTCAGGCAAATGTTTCATTTCCCCAGCGGACACACCGAGCAGATACCCCACTTGAAGGCATCTGCAGTGCTGCTCATGGTTACTGCAGCAGGCACACAGCTGGCAGGGAGGATTCTGGGCTGCACTCTCTTGACCTGGGTGGGCAGCTGAATTGCTGCTTGTGGTGGCCGTGACAGGTCCTGAGCGGATTAGTCGTCACCATCACCTGCAGCCACAGGTGTTGTCCACTGGCTTGGCATGACATCAGGCTTCATGGACCAATGGCGTGAGCTGATTGGGGAATCCTCCAGTGAATAAATACTAAAAATACGGTTGGGTCTGCCCCTTTTCATCTTTGCAGTCTACCACGTGGAGACTTTCCCCACATCTCCTCTCAGTGCGTAGTGAAAGGCATCATGCAGTGAGAACATGGTCTGCAGGGCTGCTTGTCTCCTCCTGGCTGGATCACTGGGCAGCTGGCCGATGGTGACCGTCCGAGCAGATCTATGGTTTAGACATTGTGATCCTGACCAACAGAAGATTTTCCCAGGTTTGTCATGCTCACAGAGAACACAGGCAGGGCAATA